GGCTCGGGTTGAGCTCGGCAAAGCTCGGGTTGGGCTCGGCCTGGCTCGGTAGAGCTCGGCAAAGCTCGGCTCGTCTCCGCTCGGCCCGGCCCGGCCCGGCGGGGCCGCAGCCGTTCCCGGGGCCGCCCCGGACCTTGCGCTCCATGAGGCGGTGCCGCCGCTCGCCTCCTCCCCGCCCCGCCGGCCTTTGGCCCCGGGGCGCGGCTCCCCCGACCCGGTGGTGCGGCGGGAAGGAGGCGAGCGGCGGCCGGCCCCGGGCACGGAGCAGCAGGTAAGGGCCGGACGGGGAAACTGAGGCAGGGGCGGCTCCGTGAGCCCGCCTGGCACATCAGTGGCCCCGCCAGTGTCCCCGCAGTGAGGGTGATGCCGGTGTGACCCCCCCCGTGGCCACCCGTGCCTCGACGGCGGCACAAGGCACGTCACCCCTCCCGTTCCCACCACTCGCCCGCACTAACAACCCCCCAACCCCCAGGCATGGCCACCCCACGGCTCACTGAGAGCACCGTCACCGTGCAAGGACAGACCCTGTTCTACCGCCAGGCTGAGCCCTCCCAGGCGGCGCCGAGGCTGACGGTGCTGCTGCTGCACGGCATCCGCTTCTCCTCCGACACCTGGCTGCAGGTGGGGACGCTGGCCACACTGGCCGAAAACGGCTACCGAGCCGTGGCCATCGACCTGCCAGGTAAGGTGTGATGGTGACCACAGCCCTGGAGCCAGGTGGGGCCGATGCACCCACTGGGTTTGTGGTGCCGGGATGGCAACCCCGGCATCCAGCTGTGCTGTGCCAGCTTCTCCTGCTCACTGAGGCAGCAGGGAGCCTGACAGGGCCTCTTGTGTCTCCCATGGCTCAGGGCTAGGGCGCTCCAAGGATGCCGTGGCCCCAGCACCCGTGGGCCAGCCAGCGCCAGCAGGATTCCTGAAGGCGGTTTCGGAGGCTCTGTGCCTCGGTCCAGCTGTGGTGATCAGCCCATCGTTCAGCGGCATGTACTCCCTGCCCTTCCTCCTAGAGCACAGCCACCTGGTCAAGGCATATGTACCCGTGGCACCCATCTGCACTGACAAATTCACGGCGGAGCAGTATGCCCGGATCAAAGTACGGCCTGGAGGGGCACTGGGGAAGGTCAGGGAACTGGGAGGGGATGGTGATAAGGGGACCTTGGCACTGGGGTTGAGCAGGGAAAGACTAAACAGGCCAGAAATTCTGTTGCCACTGGAAAAGGAGAACATCATGATGAAGGAATGTGATGTGGGATAGCAGAAGGGAAAGAGACCCAGCAGTGTGAGCCTCTTGTCCTGGTGAGTGGGATAGAAGGGCAAGTGTATCCCCTCTAGGGTGTTCCTGGCCAGGAGGAACAAGTGCCTGGGTGCCTGGATCCCACTCACAGGCTGCCCCTCTGCATTCCCCCTCTGCAGACCCCCACGCTGATCGTGTATGGAGACCAGGACGTGGAGCTGGGGGAGACCAGCCTGAACAACCTGCGGCACCTCCCTGAGCACCAGGTGCTGATGCTGCAGGGTGCTGGACACCCCTGCTACCTGGACAAGCCCAATGAGTGGCACCGTGGGCTCCTGGCCTTCCTGCAGCAGCTGGTGTGAGCAGGATGGGACCATGAGGCAGGAGGATGTGACCAGCCCACCCATCCCTCTGCCTACACGTGCACCCTTGTGGCAGCTCAGCCGCTTTCCTGGCACCCACACTACACTGGCCCACACCACCACCCACCTCCCTTGGGACCAAATAAAACCCCAAGCTCCGCCACTGCTTTCCTGCCATCTTCATCCTGCTTCTTTCCACCCTTCCCACCTCCTTCCCCAATCCCCACCTCTATGGCTGCTGTCCTGTGCAAGTTTGGGGGGTGATAGCAGGGAAGGTGCAGCCACTGAGGGATGGTACAGTTGGGGATCATTGCCCTGTGGATTGGCAAGTGCCAGCCTCACTGGAGCCCACCCACCACTTCTGGCAGGACCCCCATGAGCCTCAGAGGGTGCCCAGGGAGCCCTGGGGCTGTGTTCAGGGACAGGTAGGTCCCCCAAGGTAGTGGCAGCCGTGTCCCCAGCCTGCTTGCCTCCTCTTCCTCCTCCCACCCCTCCTAGCATGCACCCAAGTCCAGGGTAATCCACAGGGGCTTAAAAGGGAACTGCCAGCCCAGCGCCCCAGGGAGGTGGGGGCAGATTTACCCAAGGAGTGGCCACCATGAACAGATGAGGGGGCGGGTGGGGAGGCCTGACAGATAGGGGGACAAGACCCCTGCCTGCCACCTGCCTCCTTCCTCTTTAGTGCTGCTGCACTGGGCACTCAGGGGCACAGATGGAGCCAGCAGCAGGGTGCCCCCCCAGTGCCCCCCCTTCCACAAGCCTGCCTGGGCTTTAGCTGCTTACGCCAGGGCCCAGGAGGATTTAGTGGGGGAGGTAACGGAGGGGGGGCACTTTTATGTGGGTGCAGGATGCTTGTGTGGGGGCCACAAGGCAGTGCCAAGGATGCAGGAGCTGGTGCCTGCCCTGGTGATATGGCAGGACCCCTGTCTGGAGCATCCCTGACCCTGCACCTGGTTCAGGTCCCCTGTTACAGCCCTGCCCTCCCCCCCCCATACAGGAGTGCCTCCTGCCCCACAGCCCTCCAGGCACTCCCTACCAGCAGCAGCCCGGAGTGCCAATGGGCCCTGGGGTGCCAGCTGCCCCATCCCTGCCCGCTCCGGTGTCCTTGAGCCCTTGAGCCCTGCCAGCTGATCAGCTTCCAGGAAAAAAACCACGCAATTACAAAGAGGGGTGATGTGTGAGCCAAGGGAGGGGGGACCGAGGGGGGGGCCAGGAATGTCCCCAGCGGTGGCAGATGGCCTTACCCAGGGTGCATTGTTCCTTTTAGTGTCTCTTATCCGCTGTAATAGGATCCCGGAGGGAGGGATGTGGGAGAGGGGAAGAGCGAGGGGGGCCCCGGCGTGGACCGGGGTGGGGGCCGGGGCTGCCAGCCTGGCCCTGGCCTGTCAAGCGGCTCATTGTTCCTGCCCCGGGTGTCACTGGGCGCCGCCGGGGACAATGTGGCACTGAGCGGGGCGGCCGGCGGCGGAGGGACGAGGCGCACAGAAAGGTACCCACCAGGCCCCGCTCCCGCGGGGACCGGGGGGCTTGGGGCGGCCGGGAGGGTGAGCGGAGACAGCGACGCCCTGGGACGGGGTGGGGGCTTCCTCCTGTCCCCCGACACCTCCCTTTGCCACCCAGAGGTGCCCCGAAGGACGGGCGGTGCCCAGCTTCGTGTCTGTCCCAATGCCAGCCATGGCAGGTGGCCTCTGCCCATCACCGGGGCCTTTGGTGTCCCTGCCAGCCTTGCTCACCTGGAGGAGAGCACCCCCTGCCCGCAGACCCCCCGACATAGCCTGTGGCAGTCGGGGAACACACCGTGGCCCTGCTGCCTCCCCCTTGTCCCACTGCCAGCCTCGTCATTCCCTGCTCCGCAGGGTCTTTTGTCCCCGGCGGGTCCTCGCTGCCTTTCATCCCCGGGGGGACGGGGGACCCCGGCGGGCTGCGCGTCCCTGCCGGCACCGCACACAGCTCCGGATGCTGCGGGCAGGGAGTTATAGAAGGGCACATCCCATCCCCTCCACTCTACTTCAGGCTCCCCTCCATCAGGAACAGGAATATTCCCCTTCCTCAGTCTTTTCCCCTTTCTCCAGCCCACAGGAGCAGGCGGGTGAAGATGGGGCGTTAAACCACCCCGGAGATGCGAGCCACAAGCACTTACGGGGTGCACAGGGGACCAACCTGCCCCCTCCCTGCCCCCCGTTACCCTGATGCAGGAGATGTTCCATAGCGGTGACGAGTCCTGCCAGCACCTAAAATAGCTGCCCCCCCCACCCGCCATGCCCGAAGACGCGGCCCCAGCCCCAACACGGGTGCTTTGTTTCAAAGCCGCTTGGCATCGCCCGGCTTGCCGGGAGCCAGCGGTGCCGCAACCGCCCACCCGGCCCTGGACACACGGCGATTGTCCTCCTCCCAGGGGCCCTCCCCGCCCCCGGCCCCCAGGCACAGGGTCTGGGAGGGCCCTGGGGTGCTCTGGGGGAAAACAGGGTGCAGCAACATCAGGCATCACGCCATGGCTCATATCGGACTGGCAATCTCCATCAAGGAGCTTTGCCTCGGTTTCCCCGGGGACTTTGCGCATGGGCAGAAGGAAGGGAGGAGGAGGAAGGGGGAGGCTCACACAGCCTGCAAGACCACCCAGGTCACCTCTGCTCCCCTCACCCCAGCAAATGTCTGCAAACTGAACCTCATCTCGCAGCCACGTTCCCCACACCTTTTCCCTTCCCCTCAATCCGTCCAGTTCCAGGCCATGTGCAGGACAGGCTGAAGGCAGCTCTGGCAGACACATAGCAGTGGGCCTTTTGGGGAGTGTCAGGTAGGAGTGCAGGGCGCCCATGGGGTACCATGGGGCCGTGCAAACCTCCTCTGCCAGGGGAGGGCACAGTGTTGCCCCTGCCTCAGTTTCCCCATTTCCCAGCCATAGGATTTTCAAGCTGCAGATTTGGGAGCAGGGGGTTAGTTAGTGCCTGCCCCCTTTCTGAAGGCTGCCGTGTCCGCAGGCTCAGCTCGCCCCCCCGCCATGGCATCGCCGGATGGAGTCAGCGGCGTGGGCGGCAGCCCTGAGGAGACAGAGCTCAGCATCACCCTGACCCTCCGCATGCTCATGCACGGCAAGGTAATGGCAGGGGCTCAGCACTTCCAAGGGGTCAGCAATGCCTGGGCTGAAGGGCCATGCTGGAGCTCCAATCCCCCCTGGGAACAGCATTCCTAGAAGGATTTCTTTGCCCATCCTAAGCCAGGGAGGGGTTCTCCTGCCCCAGTGTCACCAGTTAAGCCACTCAGTGTCCCAGTGGCCCCAGGGCAGGGCCTGCCCACTGCAGGTGTGCCAAGCTGTGGGCAGAGGAGGGGTTCGGCAGGCAGGGAGCTGCCTGCTGATGGGGCCACTCTTGTCTTTGGCTTTGCAGGAGATCGGCAGCATCATTGGCAAGGTAAGATTTGGGGTCCAGGGCACCGGCAGCCCTGGGCTCCCCTGGACCTGACACCTGCCCTGTTCCTCTCCCTGCAGAAAGGAGAGACTGTTAAGAGGATACGAGAGCAGGTAAGGGCATGCGGGGGACTGCCAGGTCCTGATGCCTGTGTTGCCTGTGCCTGATGGCTCCCATATGCCTGGGCCCCAAAACCCAAGAGGATCCAGGGAAAACACAGTGGTACTGGAGGGAAGGCTGCCTGGGGCAGGTGGGAGGGGGAAAGCTCAGTTCTGAAGGCATCAATCTTGCCCGATAACCTCTCCCTGGGAGAAGTCATGGAGCACAGGGTCTGTGACATCCCTAACGGGGTGTGACACTGTCCCCAGAGCAGCGCACGCATCACCATCTCAGAGGGGTCCTGCCCCGAGCGCATCACCACCATCACCGGCTCCACTGACGCTGTCTTCCGAGCCGTCTCCATGATCGCCTTCAAGCTGGAGGAGGTAGGCAGCCCTCCCACACCCTGCTGGGTGCCCCCACACCTGCGGGATCCTGGGGGTCTGATGCTGAATCCCCCTTCCCTCACAGGACCTGGGAGTAGGGAGCGATGGGGTGGCAGCAGGCAGAGCACCAGTGACCTTGCGCCTTGTCATCCCAGCCAGCCAGTGCGGCTCCCTCATCGGCAAGGCGGGATCTAAGATCCGGGAGATCCGGGAGGTGAGGCTGAGGATGCCCTGGGTGCGAGATCCTTTTTTCCCCCAGGGAGCACAGAGTCCTCAGCGTGGGAGCTGCCACAGTCCTGCAGGGGCTGTGGGAAGTGATGCAGGTGATGCAGGGGCAGAGAGCATCACCCTGCAGATGGTCCCTGGGAGCTCAGGAGGGGGACAGGGGAGGTGTGAGGTGCCGAGCCCTTGCAGGGATGGCTGAGGGACACCAGCATCTCCCTTTGCTCCCCCCAGAGCACAGGGGCACAGGTGCAGGTGGCCGGCGACCTGCTGCCCAACTCCACGGAACGGGCCGTCACTGTCTCGGGAGTGCCAGACACCATCATCCAGTGCGTGAGGCAGATCTGCGCCGTCATCCTGGAGGTACCTCCCAAGCCCCATGCCCAGCCCAGGGGCATGTACTACCCACCTCCCCCTCCCCAAGGCTTCCTGTGCCCATCTGGACCCAAACACCATGGTCCCCCCGCATGGAAGCCTATAGGAGCACCCTGCCTCAGTGGTGCTGAGGGCTGTGCCCAGCTTGCTGGGGACACGTGGGGGCAGAGGGTCCATGGGGCTGTAGGGGTCATTTAGCCTCATCTCTCATCCTCTCCACCTCCTTCCTTCTGTCTCCAGTCACCTCCGAAGGGGGCCACCATACCCTACCACCCTGGCCTCTCCCTGGGCACCATCCTGCTCTCTGCCAACCAGGTAAGAGGGCACAGCCCCCCTGGGGCACAGAGCAGCTTCAGCCAGCAAGAGGCAACTCTGGTGGGCTCATGGTGGCCTCTCTGCCCTGGGGTTGGGGGGCTGAGACAGTGGTCCCCACCTGGCTCCCAACTGATACCCTATTTTCTGCCTCTCAGGGCTTCTCCATGCAGGGCCAGTACAGTGGGGTCTCTCCTGCAGAGGTGAGTCTGTCCCTGTGGCAACTTCTGTGGGCAGTGGGTCCATGCCTGCCAGGACAGGTGCTGCTGGGGATTCCTATCCTGGGAGGCGCTGGGTGCCAATGTTCAGGACCAGCAGGGGCACAGGGGACTCTCTGCCGTCACCACTAATGCCTCTTTCCTCCTCCTCCTGCTGCCCGGACAGGTGACAAAGCTGCAGCAGCTGTCAGGGCACACGCTCCCCTTCGCCCCCCTGGGCCATACACCCGCCATGATGCCAGGTGAGCTACCAGGGGACATCTCCCATGTCTGCCCCAAGGCTGGGGGTGTGGGGGTGCCCCTCCTGGCACACCCAGACACCTGACCCTGATGAGGAGGTCCCCAACCCCTGCAACCTCTCTAGTCCTGTCCCCCCTGGCGTGGCTACCCACTCCCCTCAGCAAAACCCTTTGCTGATTTCCTGGGCTCCCTGGACCCACCAGTACCCCCCAGCCCTGCAATGGGAGAGCACCAGCACCAAATTATGGCTGGTGCCTATGTCCTGTCCTCCCTACCTCTCCCCAGGGATCCTCCAGGTTTGTCCCAGGGCCACTAGCTGTCCTGGCACAGGTCTGAGGAGGGGGCATGGAGCTACTGGAGACCCACCTCCTCATTGCTAACATCCCTGTCTCTTTCTCCAGGCCTGGATGCCAGCTCCCAGAGCAGCTCCCAGGAGTTCCTGGTGCCCAACGACGTATGTATCGGTCTGGGGATGGCAAGAGGGACCAGAATCTGCCCCCACCCATGTGTCCCATCCTGCAGGCACTTTGCAGGGGCCAGGAACCACTGCCCCTCACAGAGGAGGCTCTGCCAGAACTCAGGAGCAGGAGGGGGCTGCTGGGGTAGAAGAAAAGGAAAACTGAGGCACATGAGGGGGCAAAAGGGCTTGGCCAATGCCAAGGAAGGGCCTTGGCATGTGGCAGCCCAGCAATGCCAGCAAGGGAGGCTTGAGTGAGACCAAAAAGCAGGGTCTGCCCTGCCCTGCCGTCCCACTGCATTCTGCAGTTTCCCCAACCCTCCCAGGCGTAGCAGGTGTCTGGGTGAGCCCCTGGGAGCTCCCTGCTTGGTGTGGCTGCTCCAGCTGCTCCCAGCTCACCCTGGTCCCTGCCCCTTCAGCTCATCGGCTGCATCATTGGCCGGCACGGCAGCAAGATCAGCGAGATCAGGCAGATGTCAGGTGCCCACATCAAAATCGGGAACCAGACCGAGGGCTCCAGCGAGCGGCACGTGACCATCACGGGGACCCCCGTCAGCATCACCCTGGCTCAGTACCTCATCACAGCCTGGTAGGTGCCAGCCTGGGGGGGAAACACATGCTGGATGCATGTGAGGGGTGGCACTTCCCCAGTACCCCAAGACAGATTTAGAGGGACACCCCCACCCCAGCATCCACAGGAGAGATGAGCTGGGTGGTGCTTTGAGGTCCTGAGATAGTAGGTGCAGGATCTGAGACCCACCAGCTTTGAGCCCCAGGTTTTAATCCTGCTCGGTGGGATACCTAGGATGTGCCATGGAGACCTGTGACAAGGGCTGGGGCGTTTGGGAAACCCATTCTGTCACCATGGTAGTCACCATCCCATCCTTCTCGCTTGCCTCCCCAGCTTAGAGACGGCTAAATCTACCTCCCAGGTGCCACCGGGCCCTGGCTCCATGGACCTCGGCATGGGTTTCTCCCAGCCCCTCGCCCCAGGCTCCGGCGCAGCGCTTCCCGCCGTCGCCCCGGCTCCTCCAGCCCTGTTGGGCACCCCCTATGCCATCTCCCTCTCCAACTTCATCGGCCTGAAGCCGGTGTCCTTCCTGGCACTGTCCCCGTCCTCTGTGGCGGGTCCCAATGGCGGCACCGCCACCTACACGACCAAGATCTCAGCGGCCAACGGCACCAAGAAAGCTGACCGGCAGAAGTTCTCGCCCTACTGAGCCCCGGTGGGCCAGGCCAGGGTGTCCAGGGTGCCACTTGGTACCAGAGACATCTCCCTGCCACCCACTCTGGCCCCCAGCCCCTGCCAGGTGCCCCAGGCCCAGGATGGACCTCCTTGCCCCCCACCCCAGGGAAGGGAAGAGTCTTCCTGGCAGCAATGCCCATTGGAAGAAGGGGCTGCTTCATTGCCTGCTGCCAGTCCCAGCAGCACTGTGCCCCCCTCCCTGATTTTCCTGCACAGAGACCACATGTCCTGGTATTGGGTGGGGGAACTGTTCCTGCCGGCCTAGGGTCCCTTCTCCCAGTGCCCTGTGCCAGCATGGGACCCCCTGCCTCCTGCTCCTCCCCCTGCCTACCCTGCCATCCTGCTGCTGCCCACACTCTTGTCTGGCACCCAAAAGTCAGGTCCCACTGGATGAGGGACTGCCTGGCCTCTGCAGGAGTCCCTCTTCCCTTGGCTCTGGTGGGGGGCCCTCCCCAGGCCACCCTGGGGCAATCGCCTCCCAGCAACCCCATCCAAGAGCCAGTCCCTGCTGGCTTGGAAATGCTGTATATATAAGTCTATATTTTTTCCTCCTTTGTAACTTATCAATGGTTTAATAAAAAGATAAAATTTATGAGAAAATAATAATAATAATATCCCCCACCCTGGGTGGAGACTTCTTCCACAGCAGGAGCAGCCCCAGCTCCTAGGGATGTGGGGCGGTGGCTGGAGGGGCATCCCTGTGTCTGGGGCGGGCCTTCAGCCTCATCTCTCTGGGGGGCTTCCTGGAGCCCCCTCCTTGCCATGGGGCAGTTTGAGAGGCCATGGGGCAGTTCTCCCTCAGGCCCCCAGTTATTACTGAGGTAAGGACATATCCAACCCACCATGCCAACACCATTCCTAGGACCTTTGTGGGTGGGCTGAGGTTGATGTACTCCTGCAGCATCCCCAAAAGGGTCCAGTCCCCTTTCTGGCACTGAGGACCCCATGGGAGGTCCTGCAGAAGCAATGAGACCGAAGGGGAACAGCAGCTTCTGATCCTCTCTGGCTGCTGCAGCCTGGGAGCACCCCACACAGCCACCTCCATCACCCCGTGTCACCATGTCCCCCTGCCTGGCCAGCAGCCCAGTTCAGCTGGCACGTGGCTGGGCTTCAGCTGGACAGCTGTGTCCATAAACAGCCTGGCACAGACCCTCAGGCAGCCAGTTCCCCCCCAGAGGGGCGGCCCCTGGCAGGCAGGGGGGACAGAGGGCACAACCAGGCATGGCCATGGGCACTGTGTGCTGCCATGCCAGCAGGACAAACAGTGACACGGCCAGAGTCAGCCCCATGGGTGTGTGCCCCTGATCAGTACCACAGGGAGCAGGAGCTCCTCCACACAGACGTTAGTTTTGGGTTTAACAGCCAAGGATGGAGGTTTCCATGTCTGCCATCCAGGCTCAGTGGGGTGCCTGGGGCCCTGCTGTTACTGGTGTTAGTGGTGTTAGCTGGGACATTGATCCCAGGTAGGGTGCAAGGACATCTGCCCTCCCTGTTGGCCACGAGGGGTTCCAGCAGGGTGATGGAGATAGAGGTGACCCCTGCCCCTGCTCAGGAGCCCCTTGGCATCCCACGTCCTGAGGAAAGCCCATCCATGCAACTGGGCTGTGCTGGTGGAGCCAGCCTGCAGAAGAGACCTGGGGTTTCACCAGATCTGCTGCCTTCCCCCAGCAGAGAAACCATCTTCCACCATGAGCTCAGAGAGAGGCAAAACCCAAACAAGGAGTCCTCCAAATCCAAGAGGCTGGGTCCAAGCAAGTCTGGTGGTTCCCTGGTAGGTTTCCTGCCCAGCACAGAGGGACAGAGCCTCCTGCTTCTCAGCTGCTCTGTTCAGGAACTTGACCTGGGAGGGGGAAGCCTGTTGTGGTCTGGTCCAGCCTGTTCCGGGGGCTGGGGCTGATGCAGCTGGTGTGGGTCTCCAGTGTGCAAGTTGCTCTCTGGAGGAACTGCAAAAAGTTTTCCTGGACAGAAGCCTCTGAGATGGAAAGACAGAGCTCCTGAGCCAGTGGCCGGTTGAGACAGCTGCGCCGGAGCCGGGCCAGCTCTTCACGGATCTGGCGGTTCAGCAGCCCATAGAAGAAGGGATTGATGGCGAAGGAGGAGTAGGCAATCCAGGTGACCACCATCTCCCCGTGCCCACCACCCAGAGTGCCAACAGTGACAGAGGAGTGCAAGTGGAAAGCAAAGAAGGGCAGCCAGCAGCACAAGAACTGTCCCACAATGAGGACCAAGGTGAGGATGGCCTTGTTACTTCCCAAAAGGCGATCTGGGATCAGCTTGGGCAGTGGCAGGATCCTGGCAATGATGATGGTGACTTGGCTGGTGATGGAGTCACATTGGTGTCTGGGTGCAACTGCCTGTGCCGGCACTGGCACTGGCGCCTGCTGTAGGGACGCAGTCCGGGCCACACGGTAGACACTGCTGTAGACAGCAAGGATGATGATGGTGGGCAGAAAAAAGCAGGTGATGCTGAAGAGGATCACAAAAACCTTCTTGTGGGCCCCAGGGCTCCAGTAGACTGTGCAGCGGCTGGCGCTGGTGGCCCCGTTGCCTTGAGGCCATGCCACCAGTGCCAAGATAGTGATGAGAGCAGACTTGACCCAAATGAAGATCACTCCAGCCACTGCCAACCTGATGGTCATCTTGACCTCATACCTCAGAGGATGGACGATGTAGTAGTACCTCTCCACACTGATGATGGCAATGGTGAGAATGGAGGCACTGATGAAACAGATATTCAGGAATATCAAGGCCTTGCACTCAGCAATGCTGTAGATCACCCTGTTGAAGCAGGAGGAGCTGGAGATGATCCCCAGGGGCATGAGGAAAATGGCAGAGAGGAGATCGACCACACAGAGGTGGCAGACGAAGATGAACTTCCTGAAAAGGGGGGTTTTGAGAATGACGACCAACACCACGGTGTTGGCCACCAGGGCAGTGAGGGTGAGCAGGATCATGCAGAAGAGGCCCACCACCTCCTGGGCAATGGAGTACTCGGGGACGGAGAGCAGCTCTAGGCTGTCCGTGGTGTTTGGCCCTGTTCGGCTCGCCATCCCCCTCAAGGGCTAAGCCAGCAGCTCCGGTGCCTGGGCAGCAAGGGTTCTTCTCCTGCATCCCATAGAGGGAAACCCCACCACAACCATGGCCTCTATCTTCTCCTTGCCTGTTGGGGATGGGAGTGGGGTGTGAAGCAGAAAAAACAAAATGAAGAAGAGCCACAGAGAAACATAAAGACAACCAGCACACTTCCAAGGTGCTGGAGGAAGGAGAGGTAGCCAGTGAGACCACATCACCCTGCCTGTCCCAAAGCTGGCACCCAGGCTGTCCCCAGCTGGCCAGAGACAGCACTGCTGGGACCTGCGGGCACCCATGCCAGGCTAACACCCTGTCCCCCTGCCCCAACAGCACCACCATGTCCCCAGGAGGGACAGCACAACCTGCCTGCCCCAATCCTCTTGCTCCAGCCACAGGGGACACTGGGGTGGGTGGGATTCAGCGCACCTTTGCTCCTGGAGAGGTGGGTGATGCTCCTCTCCTTGCCAGGGTCCCTCTTGCCGGTGTCGCTCCCGCGGCAGAACAGGGGCTGCGGGCCCTGTGTGAGGCCACGCTCCCCCTTCCCCGCTCCCGTCACCCGCTCGTCATCCTGTTTGCCTGCAGCCCGCCAGCTGCGGATGGCACCAGCTGTCACTCCCGGCGCTGCCTGCGCTGCCTGCACTCGTGGCAGTCCCACGGGGACAGCTGCTGGGTCCTAGCAGCCGGCAGGGGCTCAGGAAGGGGGGACTTGGGTCCCCAAGACTTGCCCCCCCCAGAATGGCCACCCGCTGCACCAAGCCTGGTCCTTCCACAAGAACAGCTCGGCCCCCAGGTCACCAGGGCTTGAGGATCAGAGCCACAGGCAGGTCTGCAGCAACTCCTCTCCACTGGCACATGGATGCTCATGGGGCATCAGGGTAACACAGCTGGGAGTTGCCCTTCTCTGGCACAAGTGAGCATGGAAAGGGGCTGGGCATGGCTGCCAGGCTGGGGCAGGGCAGCAGGCACAGCACCAAGAATGGCACTAGAGTCAGGGCAGGCACTCACCCTCAGGATGTTCCTCCATGCCCAGGCAGGGAAGTAGATCTTGCTCATCCTTTATAGCTCTGATGCCACAGTGATGGGCATGAGCTGTGTGCCTTGCTAAAGTGACAAGGGCAGCTGGCTCTCAAAGCCACTAGATTTTGTCTCTGAAGGCTGTTGCCCCTCCAGAGTCATCCACTGCCATCCCTTCAGGGACTCACCCCCGCTGTTCCCTACACCACATGCACCTTGCCGAGGGCAGGAAAGCGCAAGCACCGTTCAGTACAAGGCATGGTGCTTTTATTCACCTCAAAGCAAGCTCTGTCCCCACACCAGCCTGTTCCTTGCCAAGCCCCAGGTGGGGTGGCCAGAGTACAGATCACTGTCCTCTGGGCTGGTGGGCATCATCAGCTGGTGCTGGGCCAGGGCCACAGGATTCCCGGGCACCCTCAGAAGCGGAGCTGGACAAGGTAGCGGATCCGGCACTGGCTTTCCTGGTAGATGAGGTACTCGCTCTGCCTGAAGGAGGAGTTCTTGTAGGCAGGCATGGGGATGGGCTTGCCTTGGCACACCAGCACCTTCTTGCCATCCAGCAGCACCTCCTCATCCTGTGCAGGGTCTAGGCCAGAAGTCACCCCCATCAACACGTCAAGCCTGAAACCTTGCCTCCCTCCCCCCTGCCCTGTGCCCACTCCCGCCCCACAAATCCCACACTCCTCCTGCCCCAGGCTCACCTGGCTCTGTCTGGCCACAGGCCAGGACACTGTCATAGCCAGCAGGTGGCTGACACAGAGAGGGGTTATCACTGGTGATGCGGTAGGGCTTGCCCAGAGCCACCTCCGTCAGGAACATGATGCCAACTTTCTTGGATGTGCAGCCCACTGACATGGGAGAAAGGGATGGAGATGAGAGCACCACCCCTGGTGTTCCCATCTCGTTGTGCCCAGACCATGCTGGGACAGAAAGACCAGTTGCCATGCAGGGAAGGGGCTTGGCATGTCCACACGCCTGCCAGCCCACAGCTGCCTGGCAGGGGTCACGCAAAGGCAGCCAGGCTCACATAGACCCTGCAGGCATCCCAAACAGCCTTGCTCGTCCCAGGACCCTCACCGTAGCAGGCTGATTTGCTGTTCTCAGAGGCAAAGTAGATGCCCTTGCCCACACGCCCTCCTGAGTGTGGCATGATGCGCAGCCCGCTCTTCAGGATGGCCGCCACCACCGCCACGTTGGTGCCGTGCCAAAGCAGGCGCCGGTGCTCCAGGAGGTCGTGGGCTTTGAAGCGCTCATCCTGGAGAGACGTACAGCTAAGGGCTGTCCACGGAGGGAGACGTGGATGCCCAGGCATGGAGGGCTGCTACCCACTCCCCCAGCCCAATCCCAGAGCCCAGCTGGAGGGGCAGGAGAGCGGGCAACCCTGGCCAGCTGGGCTGAGGCCCCCGCTGGGTGAAGAAGCCCAGAGCCCTAACACAATCCTGGGGTGCAACCAGGGTTTCCACACTGTAAGATGGGGCAAATCATCTCCACCTCACCTCACCAGCTCGGGCCACCTGCCAGATGTTGAGGATGCGGAGGTTGTGCCCAGTCTGTGTCACGTAGTTTTGGATCAGCTGCCAGGGAGGGAGGTAGGAAAGCAATGTCACCACAGGCCACCATCCCAGCAATGCCCAGGGTGCCTTTGGGACAGTGGGGATGTTTTGGGGTGCCCACAGGCCTGGCACAGTTACTCCCCATTATGAGACACTGTGGCACAAGGACCACCTGATATTCCCGGGAAGATGAGTCCAGCAGGGAGAGCTGGCAGCAGAGCAGGGCATAATCCTGATCCAGCGGATGGGGGACTTCTTTCTCCTCCTCCTCCTCCTTCACTTTCTGTGCCTGCAGGCTCTGTGCCACCTCAATGTCGGCCAGCACCTGGCAGGGACAGACCAGAGACATCCTCACCACCAGTGCCAGGCACTGTGCCAGGGGGACCAGGGCAAGCCCAGCCTCCTGCCAGCAGCTCCCTGCCCCACATGCAGGAGCCCTCCTTGGGGAGGGATGCCAACCACCACGTGCCCTGGCAACTCACCAGCAGCATGTCCTTCTTGGCACGGAGCAGGTCAGGGGAGTTGATGGGGGGTGGCCGTGCCCGCCCAAAGTTGTGGGGGACGATGGTGTAAAAGCGGGAGGAGAGCTCCTCCAGGTGAGAGGCCTGGGGGGGCTGCTCCTGCAGCGCCGCCTCCAGCTCCTCCAGTGCCTCAAAGCCCCTTGCGATCTGCTGCTTGCTCAGCTTCCCCAGAGGCATCTTCTTCACGTCTGGAGGGTGTTGGGGAAGGCACAGGTGACCCCATCTACCCCACTTGCCTCACAAGAACCTCCAGCATCACCACAGGCACATGCAGGCACTCGGCACAGGGTATCCACAATCCCACCAGGTGCCAGGATGGTAGAGGGGATGCTCTAAAATACATCAGCACCTCTGCCCCACTCACCCCTCCACCTGCACACCCCAGCTGAAGCCCCCAGACCCAGCACATGCCATCCATCACCTCCTACCGATATTCATGGTCTGCATGGCGTCCCGGAACATGTCACTGCTGAAGATGAGGGACACCAGCTCCTGTGTGTCCTTGTCCAAGGTGCAGGGCAGCACCCGCTGCTTGCAGACTTTGTCCCCATCCACACTATCCACCTGCAGATCCCCAGCATCACCTGTGAGCCTGGGAGAGGCTGTGGGAGCTGCCTGATAGGGAGAGCCCAGCCCCTGGGCAGCAAAGCAATGGGCAGGTGCTGCCTCCGTTTTCCAAGACTGATTCCACCCAGAAGCCCACGGTTCTCATTTGGGATGCCCTCTCACTCCATTTCAACCCATTAGCCCCAATATCTGCCTGCAGGCTGTTTCAGCACGTATCCAGACCCTCCTCAGAACCCACCACATCCCGGTGACCCTCTTGGACATCCTGTAGGACACCTGTACTGGTGTCCAGTAGCCCAGGAGTGGGATATGAGGACTATCCCACTGTGGTGACACCCCAGCTGCCCGTTGTACTCACCCTGAGGGCAACCTCCACCTCCTGCCCAGCCCCTGGCTGCACCTCGATGAGTGTGTACTTCCCTGGCTGGGCAACGAAGTTTTCCTTTGAGGCCCAGCTGTTCTTGGTCTTCTCCCGAAACTTCTTCTCAAAGTCCTTCTTGGCAGCCTCCAGGGAGGTGCAGGGCATGAGCTTGGACTGGCCCACTTCCCCCTGACAGTGGATAGCAGTGCTCAGGACCTCTCCCACATCCCTGCCCCACCAGCCTCATGCTGGAGGGAGCAGGCAGGGTTCAGGGGGGGCTGCAATGGCAGGGCTGGTGGGCAGGGAGTAGGGACATGCTGAGCCACCAGCATGGGAAGAGACCCCAGGACTCCTTGTTGTAATGTCACATTCACATTCACTGCAGTGACAGGTGCCACGTGCCCCAGCCAGGCTCACCATGTCGTGTGGGGGAAAGTCCTTGAAGCCCCCCAAGCAAAGGGCTATAACAGGACACTTCGTTGCTTGCTTCGGGACCAGGAAAAAGGCATGGGGACCACCAGGTTCATCCTCAACCTTTGGGGGTCCAAAGGCAGGGTGGGGACAGCTGGGGGGTGTGTGGGCGGGCAGTGCCAGGGTGGACTCACCACACGGCCCCAGCGGCTCCAGACACTGTAGGCACCATCGTGCTCAAGCAGCTGGATGATGTAGAACTTGTTGTTGTTGGCACTGATGTTGGTCTGGTTCAGGGTGCAGTCGTAGTCCTCATAGACCTACAGCAAATGGCATGGCCCGGGCTGGCACCTGGCCAGCATTTGGGGATGGGGAGGGTGCAGTGATGTCCCAGCAGGGATACAGGGGGGTCTGCATGGAAAATTGGAGCTGCCTATGTGTCAGCAGGTGGCTGCCCATGTCCCCCTGTCCCAGCCCCTCTGGGTACCTCAGCCCCACTCTCACCTGGGCACCTGGTGCTGTGCTCAGGGGGCACAGCCCATCGATGGTGGCAGGGGGCTTCTCCTTGGGGGCAGTTTTGAGGGCTGCCAAGGTAGAGCTCCAGGTGTCATCCTCCTCTTTTCCTTTCGCTTTCTTTTTCCTGCCATCTGGCTGTGTTGAGGAGGACGCAGGGCGCTTGGAAGCCATGACTCAGCCTCCCCACAGGGGTAGCTCAGCCTTAATCCTCGGGCAAAGTCCTCTGGGGAGAGGCAGAGCAGGAGGTGAGAGATGCCAAGCCCTTCCGGGAAAGTCCAGCTTTCCCTCCTCCTCCAGCCCACAGCCAGGTTGGAGGAAGGGATGGGACCTCTGCCCACAAAATGTCTCAGCCTTATCCCTGTGTTTGGCATGGGGGACAGAGCCTCTCAGCACTTTTCAGCCCCCAAGGGACCCCAAAATAAAAACAGCCCAGTGACGCAGAGCTGAGGGGGATCGCGGGGAGAGCACAGCTGCTAGTTCAGCAAACTCGTGTCAGAAGAGCTGGAAGAGGATGAGGGTCTGCTGGAGAGGTAGGGGGAGCTGGGAAAGCCCTGCTGGCCCCAACCTCCCCTCGCCAGGGACCCCCAATCCACAGGAGTGTGTCCCCACAGCTCCCACAGCTTTTGCCCCCAGGGCCATGCAGGAGAGGAAACCATGCAATGCCAACCCCCCCAAACACGTGATGCCTTCCAGTCCCTCCCAAGCCCAGTGAAGTGCTTTGATTTGGGCATAGGTGGTCTCAGGCAGCCCCTGTGTCCTTCACCCTCCTGGTCCCAGCCGAGTAGGTAGTGGTGAGGGCAGCAAAGGGAGCAGAGGAGCAGTGCGCAGCCGTGTCCTACCTGCTCCTGCTGCCTGTGGTTGCCTGCCGAGGAGCCTCCGACAGCCTTCGGGCTGGTCGGGCAGCCTGCCCGGAGGAAAAACTTTTCCCCTAGGCAGCAGGCAGGGATGACAGCGGAAACAGCTGCCACGCCTCCGGGTAGCGCATGCACCCTGTGGCAGGCCTGCCTGCTGCCTGCACTGCCTGCACTGCTGCCTGCACTGCTGCCTGCACTGCTGCCTGCACTGCCAAACAGTCTCTGGACGAGGGGTGACCCTGACAGTGGCTGCCCTTCCACCCAGCCACCCCCCCTCGCCATGCTCTGAGACAAAGAAAACAGGCTTGAAAGAGTTAATGACACCAGCGTCATTTTGCGTGTTAAATATCTTTTCTTGGGTCCCCATCAAACAGGCAGGGCTGAGGGTCAGGCGGGGAGGGAAACCTGAACACATCCTGGGAGCTGAATTAGCTTGGGGGGGGGTTTCAAAATAGCTGCCTCCTCCTGCCTGCAGCCCCACTCTGAGGGGTGTGGGTGTGGGCAGGGTGGCTGTGCAGGCAGCGGGGATCGCTGTCATGGGCAGGAGGCAGAGCTGCGCCTCGTGCTGGGAACATGGAGAGGACAACCTTGCTGGGGCCAAAGCCTCGCTGGCTTTGTAACTCTTGGGCTTGGCCACATCAGCCCAAGCAGTGCAGGCGGAGGCACAGCCCCGTGTGCTCCCCTGGGTGATTTAGTTTCATGGTGTCCCCTCAAAGGGCTGCAGCCCGTGGCAGCTTTTTCATTATTGATGGGCTGGAGGAGTTGGGTTTGTTCTGTCTGGAGAAGAGAAGGCTCCAGGGAGACCTTAGAGCCCCTTCCAGTGCCTAAAGGGGCTTTCAGGAGACCTGGAGAGGGACTTTGGACAGGGGTGTGGAGCGACAGGACAAGGGGTAACAGCTTTTAAGTGACAGAGGGCAGGGTTAGATTGGACATAAGAAAGAAATGTTTATGATGAGTGTGGTAAGGCACTGGCACACGTTTCCCAGAGCAGCTGCGATCCCTGTCAGTGTCCAAGACCAGGCTGGACAGGGCTCTGAACATCCCAGTCTCGCGTGGGGGGGCCGGGCCGGGGAACCCTTTAATGGCGTCTGCGCCCCCGGAACTACATCTCCCGGCGTGCCTCGCGGCGTCCCCGCCTCCTGCGCATGCGCCCGCCTGGAAGCTTCCAGTCGTGGCGCGCGGTGGCCGCTGGGTAGAAGACGGGCGGTCCTCTCGGCGCCATTTTGTGGTGAGGCAGCGAGAGGCGCTGCGCGAGTGTGCTCGGTGTGAGGTGCCGGACAGCGCTGTGCAGGCTGCCTGCGGATCCTGGGTGGCGGCATGGGCTCGGACAAGAGGTGAGCGGCGACGGGAGGGCGAGGGGGAGACGAGAGGAGGGCGGGCAGGTAGGCAGGCAGGCAGGCAGACAGTGGCGGGGGTCGCGGCGGGCGCTTCACGCTCTGAGCTCGGCCCGCTGTTGTGCTGCAGGGTCAGCAGGACGGAGCGGAGCGGCCGCTACGGCTCCATCGTGGAGAGGGAGGACCGCGACGAGCGGGAGTCCCGCAGCCGGCGCAGGGATGACTACAAGAGGTCTAGTGAGGAGCGCCGCGGCGACCGCTACGATGACTATCGCGACTACGACAGCCGGGACTACGACAGCCGAGACTACGATAGCCGCGATAGCCGAGACTGCCGCGACTACGACAGCCGGGACTACGACAGCCGAGACAGCCGGGTCTGCCGGGACTACGACAGTCGCGATAGCCGCGATTGCCGCGACTACGACAGCCGCGATTGCCGCGACTACGACAGCCGGGACAGCCGAGACTACGATTGCCGGGACTACGACAGCCGGGATTGCCGAGACTACGACAGTCGCGATAGCCGAGACTACGATAGAGACTACGACAGCCGCGATTACGATAGCCCCGAGGTGAGCGGGCCGGGGGGAGCCTGGAGCGGGGCACGGCGGGGGGTGCGGGGCTGGGGGGGGCCGGGGCCGGGTGCGACCCGGGGCGATGCCCGAGGCCGTGGGGACCAGCCCCGGGCTGGGGCTCGGTGTCCGTGTCTGTCCTGGGCCAGTGGCACTGCGGGCACACGCTGCGGGCAGTCGCGGGGGCTAATCCTGGGCGCTGGCTTCCAGAGGGAGCGGGAGCGCAGGAACAGCGACAAGTCAGAGGATGGATACCATTCCGATGGCGATTATGGAGAGCACGACTACAGGAACGATATTAACGATGAGAAAGAAAGCAAGACCATCATGTTGCGTGGGCTTCCCATCACGGTTACGGAGAACGATGTGAGTAGCCGGGCAGGGCTATGCGGGAGCGGCGGCTGCTGCCATTTTGTTGAACGCTGCATCATGGTGGCCCCTCTCCAGCGCTGCCGAGCTGCCATTTTGAGTCCTGAAAGCGTTTAAACTGTCACTGTTAGAGTGACAGAGGTCAGTTCAGTGTTAACCAGTTTCTTTCAAATGAAACAATCCGCGAGTAGTTGTTTTTTCATGCATGTTTGAATGCTTTCTGTAAGAGTGGATTTTAAGCTACGTGCTCTTCTGCTTTTCTTTATTGGAGGGAAGAGGCAGGCGTTTGCTTCTTCCCACCTCAGCAAGAGGGGAGGGGGACTGAGACACAAAGGTGGCACTTCCTTCAGTTTTTCTGGTCTTTACTGAGGTCAGAAGTTGTGCCTGATGGGGTCGCACACAGACACCGAGCTCCTCAGCCAAGCACAGCCCTGCACAAAGCTGCTTTGTGCAGGCACAGCTGTGGGAGTCATAAAATGGCTGCTGCTGAGCTGACAGAGCAAGTATATGTCAGCTTGGTACTTGCTTATCTAATTCCTTTAATAGAAAGATGTTAAAGCTTTAGGCTTTTTGATTGTAGTTTTTTAGGTTTTTTTCCTTCCTTGCTGGATTATTTTGGTTACCAAGCTGTACGCCCACAACTGTTATTTGAGGGTTAGCCCTGTAAAAGCTGAGCTATGCCAGTTTGTTTTCAGGCAGGTGGCTCCTCTGCCTCCGAGGTGTTTGTGTGTTGACTGCTAACACGGAGAATGCTTTTGCACTGTTTATGCGGTGCATTTTTTTTTTTTTTTTTTTTACTGATTACTTGCTGCCCTCTTAATATGGAATGTCTTAATCACCACTTACTTCTCTAATATTTTCACAAGTGTTTCAGACCACATTTTGTTTCTGAGGTATTGATATTGTAGCTCTACAGTTGTGAATTAACTGTAGCGTAGTTTATATGAATGTTTAATTGTGGACTCATCTTGGGAGTGTAGGCAATGCATCTTGGAACTGCTAGTTGTTTTCTTAAGTTAACATTACTTCAACATTTCTGGTTATGTACATATTTTTCATGAGAAAAAGCTACTTGCAATGAAGATACTAATTACAGTCAGCATAAAAATGAGTAGCTTAAGATCAGTTTTGATTCTGCTGAGCAACCCTGTTGTATGTAATGTAGTTTGAATTCTGTGAAAGCTGCTGAAAGACCTTTTGTCTTCTGTTGTGGTATTAAAATATTGGTTAGTGTTTCTTTTTCCTCCATGCCTCCCCCAGCAATTTAGGTTGCCTGTGCCGCAGCCTAAGCAGCTTTATTACAGCTGAAGAACTGACGTCTCTGTAGCGTTTTCTTTGAGGACACGTTCTTCCCAAATCTACTTTATCTCCTGAAAAACTGGAGGGGATCTGTTAGAGGATGAGAACTTCAGCATGAGACTTAGCAATACATTCACCATGGAGCCCTGCAATGTAGGCTCCTTGTATTTCATTGCCAGGAGCAAGGGATATTTAGATATGCAGGGAGAGAGGGATGTTTCTTTTAAAAACTTGGGGTCAAGCACAGTATTAGCCAAATCTAGGACAAATTACCTTGGAACACAACATCATAGGGATTCAGATTCTGGATGATTTTGTGGCCTGAGTGAGGATGACAGTTTAGTGTAGCAAAGGGCTGTGTGGGCTCTCTGGTGCTCGTCAGTCCCGTTGGGTTCTCCATAAAGGTTTTCTTTGTCTCTGAGATAGCGCTGAGGCTGTTGATGTTTTGTGTACCACTTGTATGTACTGTAGGTTGCTTTTGTGACTTCTAGCTGTCTACCAAGATGTGAAAAATTTACCTGTTTGATCAAAATCTTATGCAGATTCGCGAGCTTATTGAGTCCTTTGAAGGTCCTCAGCCTGCAGACGTGAGGCTGATGAAGAGAAAGACAGGTGAGAGCTCTTAATCCAGTTTTTGACATCACCTTCCTCTTCCCCAGCCCAAAAGAGTATCCAGAATTGTCCCCAAACTGCAAGCACATGCATTACCAAAAAAAAAAAAACCAAAAAAAAAAGGGTTTGCCATGGCTAAGGAATGTGGCTTTTTGGAAGACTTATAGATAGCTGGTCAACATGTTAAAAGAAGTCTGTCTACAGGGGGTTTTGTTAACAGGTATTGGTAAGTAATAATAGTGTAAACCCATTTAATAGTATGTAGTCTGTTGCATGGTTACCTTTAAACGTGGATTCGAATCGAGTGAAATGTAGCCAGTTAAGGCAGCTTGGTTCCTTGCCATGGCAAAATAACGAGCAGATCCCAGCAGTTGACGTCGCATTTGTAAAGCTGCTTTGTCATGAAGTAATGAAGCAGTTGGAGAGAGATTCGCCTGTTTTAAAGGAACTGACTAACACAAGTATCCCGTCTATATCTGAATGCTGTCTCTAGGTGTAAGCCGTGGTTTCGCCTTCGTGGAGTTTTATCACTTTCAAGATGCTACCAGCTGGATGGAAGCCAATCAGGTTGCTTCACTCACCAAGTCTAGATATTCCTGAAAATGGAACAAGTCTGTACAGTTAAAAAAAAAAAAAAAAAAAAAAGGAAAAAAATAGAGGTGGAAGGAGTGGTTTGTTCCATAACAGTGATTTAAAAGACTGAAAGCTTTGTATATATTAAAATTTGTAACAGTAGGACAAAATATAAGGTAAAATTAGGTGAGAAAATTGAGCATTTTGAGCACTCTCTGGTAAAATGTGTCATTCTTTTAAATGGCTTGGTTGTGATTTAATTGGCTCGTGAAGATTTGGCTAGTAGCCCTTAGAAAATCCTAACTTATTTCCACTTGGTGTTTCCTTCTCTGTTGTCAGAGAAAGCACCAGATCTCTGTGTTACATAGATATTAACCCTGAAAGACAAGTGGCTGTTCCCCCACTTAAAGAGGGAGAACTGGCGCTTGGATAAAAAAACATGTTTATCCAACTAAATTAGGTAGAGAGTGAGTTCTCACACCTGTTGTTCTCTGTATTTTGGCTTTTTAGTTAGTGTGACTTCATTAGGAGCCAAAACGCAGTAAGAGTCCTCTGGTTTGTTTTCCCATGAGGTTTTCCTGTGGTACTGCAGTTTCACTTGCCTTTGCTGCTTTTGAGTATTCATAACCTGTTTTAACAACAGACCTTAAAAATACTCTCAAAATAACAAACT